AGAGAGAGAGAGAGAGAGAGAGAGAGAGAGAGAGAGAGAGAGGATTCTGTTGCAGTCTGTGTTGTGTGAATGAGTACGTTTGTAAATTCCATGTGTTCTCATGTGTGTCAGAGAGAGAGAGAGAGAGAGAGAGAGAGAGAGAGAGAGAGAGAGAGAGAAAGAAGGCTTCAGTTGAAGTCTTTTGTGTCCTTTGTGTGACTCTGCCTGTGGGCTCCCTTTGTTTTCTCATATTTTGGTCACTGTTAATTATGGGGTGTTCTCTTCGCTTCATCGTAAACAGGCAAAGGAGCTGCACGCGAACACATGCTACTACGTGGACCTTCTAGCACGTGGCACTGGGAAGAAGCCCGAGGACTTGTACATTGAGATTCAACGGCCGAGCTACTTCTGGCCTGAAGAGGCAATTGAGTATGGCCTCATCGACAAGATAATTCAGGATCGTGACGTGCGGATGGAGAAGATAGTAAGAGTCATGCCTTTCCCTCACCTACCCTCCTCTCCTCCTTCCCTTGGCTCCCGCCACGGCTGCTCTTTCTGTCAACCCCTCGGTGTTTCTCTGGCAAAACAAGCTGTTAATCTTCGGGAAAATGAATATTTTTTAATTGAAGTAGTGATCTATGTTACCAAAGAGGCACGGGACCACTTGCCCGGCCGGGCCAAAAATGGATTTTTTTTTTTTGAAAGCTAGGCTACCAGCCGTGCCGCCCGGTTCCTGGTGGCCAGCCCGTGCAAGGACCAGGGAAGGTCCCAGCAAAAAAAAAAAAAAAAAAAAAATCAAAAAAATCCGAAAACAAACTATGTTATGCAGAAAAATAAACTGAACAACTTTTGCCTCAGGGTCACATCGAAATTCTGCACCAAATTTAGAAAACAAAATAAATTTAAAATATATATATATATTTTTATTTTATTTTATTTTTATTGTTTTTGGACCGGCCGGGCAAGTGACCCCGTGCCACTCTGGTAGCCTAGTTTGAAAGGTTTTTAAAGTTCTTTTTTTATATTTTTTTCCGCAAAGAATTCCGGTCCGACCCTGAGTCAAAAGTTGTTCCGTTTATTTTTCTGCACAACATTTTTTTCTTCCGCAATTTTTTTCTTTTTTTTTTCTTTTTTTCTTTACAGGGACCTTCCCTGTTCCTTTCCCGGCCGCGCGGCCCGGTCGAACAAGGTGACCTGGGCGGCCCGGTTTATAACACAGAGTGATATAAACTTGGACGACAAGTCACAATGCCTTGGCGGGGGGCGGGGGGGATCACGTCGTTGAATATGTCATGTCATGTGAATAACAACATAGAACTATTTGGTGTCGACACTGTCGAGCCCACATTACTGGTGGTGGTATTGATAAACAGCTGCCTGTGCGCGTAGACGTCCTGTCTTTCGAATGAATGTATGATGTTCCTTAAAGAGGGGGGTCTAGTTATGATATGCACACATGATGTGTACCCCATCGCACCGTCAACTGGGGGGGTAATTTCTTTTGTTTTTTGTCCCTTTTTTTTGTTAAATGGCAACGGCCCTGAGATATCATCATTAAATGGCAACCATATCGTCCTGTCATCGGAATTATTTTTTGTTCTGTTCATTTGATTGCATCTGGATTTGAATTTGTGTCTGTATTCCAACTGTTCATGGGTGCACTGATTGGGGGCTAATTTTATTTTTATTTTTTATTTTTATTTTTTATTTTTTATTTTTATTTATTTTTACCTTTATTTTATTTTTTGTGCAGGGGCAATGCTAATCTTCGCTGTATTGTTCCAATTTTAACGGATGTCCCGAAGGACACTGGGGGCTAATTTCTATCCCTGCCCCTATCAAATTATTCTTGAGAGTGTCTACCTGGGTCATAATTCTTTTATTATCATTATATGATTTTTTCTTTTTTTTTTAAGTTTTTTTTGGGATTACACACCTGAATGATTTGTTGGTAAGTTTATCATTGTAGCCCAATAATCGATCCGCAGCCAAACGGACTTCCGCAGCCAGACGGAATCGAACCGGTGACCTCGGCTGTAACAGCCAGATGCCTTTACCACTGCAACGGTGACCCGGTGTTCAAAACTGAAGCCATACCGGTCGTGACATTCAGCCCACCTGAATGAGCCTGAATCAGAATATATATACTACTACTAAAAGAAATAAAACAAAAAAAAAAGCTACTTCTTTTGGAGTGGTATTGGAAGCTGAGGTGCAGTGAATGGGGGGCCTAATACACGTCCAGATTTGTAGGCGTAATGGTGAACGGGAATACTCCCCAAGTTTCCGACGTGATGTTGTGAAGTTTCAATGGTGGTTGGGTGCCCCTTTTCTGAATATCGTACATCTTTAAAAAAACAAAAAAAAAGTTAAAAAAAAGCTAAAAAAAAACGAAGAATATACTCCTAGAGAAAAAAAAAAGGGAGGAATAATAGAATATGGTATTCCTTTCATATAGGGGTAAAGTTTCAATGGTGGTTGGGTGCCCCTTGTCTGAGCTGGCAATGTCCATTTTCCTGTTTCGCATTGTGTCTTCAGAATTACGATGAGATGTTGGCTCAGCAGAAGGCGATACGCGGCCCAGGCAGGCCAGGTGCTCCTATGGTTCAGCAAGGACCTCCAGCCTAAGCAGACAGGAGGGCGTGACGCGAGTGGTGTAAGGGAGGGAGCGGGGGGGGGAGGACGGGGAGGAGGGGGGAGGTATAGCTTTCATGGGTAGAGTGTCTTTTAGTGTATTTCGGTTGCGGTGTGCAGGGTATTTCCCGATTTCCTTTGTCGCTACTGAAGTCACGGCTAGTCTTTTCTTGTCACTCTGGCACCGCTACTGAAGTCCTGGTTGTTCTTTTCGTTAGCTCTGACATCGCTGCTCAAGTCACGGTTATGTCTTTTCGTTACGCTGGCACCACTACTGAAGGGACTAGCTCAGCTCATCATCTCCCCACCCATGATGAGTTTAGAGTCTTTAGACTCTAGAGAGCGTGCACTCCTTTGCTGTTGGTTACTTGGGGATTGTATTCTGTGTTTTTTTTTTGTCTTTAGACTCTTTATCCCTTTCTGTCCTTACCTTGTTCCAACACTTCACCTGCCACCCATCCTGCGGGATAAGCATCAAAATTGGGGAATGGATACTGAGAAGAGATTTAGCATGCCCCCCTCACAAGGACGACACGCTCGTAAAAAAAAAAAAAAAAAAAAAAAAAAAAAAAAAAAAAAAAAAAAAAAAAAAAAAAAAAAAAAAAAAAAAAAAAAAAAAAAAAAAAAAAAAAAAAGGACGACACGCTTGTAAATCGAGAAACGAGTCTTTGCCGCACATGCGATCACTTGGAAGTCTTTTTTTTTTTTCAGCAGTTTTGCGCCGACGCTGCTGGGAGCTGACGTCTGATGGTGAGAAGTATGCGAGAGGCGGACAGATGCGTATGACGTTGACTGTAAGCAGTGTAAGGTCTTTTTCGACTTGTTCGATTGGAACGTTCGCTGCAAGCGTTTTGCCTTATGCTGTCCGCTCCGCATAGACGCGATGCGTCTATCAGTACGGGGGCTATACGGCTCTGTAGAAACAGCCACCCATATGGTTTGGTAGAAGGAACCGACTGTATTTAGGGCTATAGGGCTATGGAGATGTGGGGGTATGGGCAGTACTTGGTACAGCTAATCTGCAGGCAGGTAGGATTGTATGGACCATGCACTGCGCAGATGTGCCATCTGTACGAACCATGCGCATGGGTTCAAGACTTCCGAGTTCTTTTTCAAGTTAAAAAAAAATACAGCTAGGGGTGAAGTTGTCGTGTCGAAGGCTGGGAGCATTGGTGTTGATGGGAGGTGGGTCGTCGAGTATGGCGGATTCAGAGAGTGGAAGTACATTGTCGATCGATTGAGGCGGTAGAGGATGATGTTGTGAGTCTTGTGACACACAACAGCTAAGCGGCTCCGTGTGAGCGAGCGGGCAATGATTTGGCCATGGAGAGATGGCACAGCAGGTGACGGAGTTGGCGGCATAGCTGGTCTGTCTGCTCCGAGAGGAGTTGGCGGCCATAGCTGCTCTGCCTGTCCAGAGAGGAGTCTGCAGGAGGGAGATGGGGTAGATGGAGGTGGTGGCCCTGGTCTGTCTGGTGAGAGCGGAGAGATGGCGGCCCGTATACGGTGAGAGTAAAACTCTGTTGTTGCCTTGGAGATGCAAAGGTAAGCGGAAGAACCAATGCGGCTCTGAAATGGGTGCGTGTAAGAAACAGGGTCCTTTTTACAATTTGCCTTCAGCTTGTACATTCTTCTTTGTTCACAAAATTTGTCTATCCTATAATGGTATCATTCTATGAAGTAGGGTTTGATCGTTTGGTGCAATCTTGGGAAGGATTACGGAACCTGAGTGTTCATTCTGTCGGTTCTGTTGAATGACAACATCGTTCGAACTCACCCCCGTCCTCGGTTCTAACTACTACTGCTCTATGACGCGGATCGTGGACATGAAGCCTCTTCGCGGAAGGGCGTCTATTTTTCTCCTCAACTTGTACATATTTTTTGTTCCTATTGCAATCTCTCTCTCTCTCTCTCTCTCTCTCTCTCTCTCTCTCTCTCTCTCTCTCTCTCTCTCTCTCTCTCTCCCCCCCCCCCCTCCTACACATGGACACGGACAAAACAGCTATGGGAGATGAGACTAGATAGTGCTGGTGTACACCCTTGGCTACCTGCTTGACAGATAAACATGAAAGGAGGAAGATGATTTGGGGGGAGAGAGGGGAGGGGGGGGGGCGGGGGTAAGAAGGCGATACATCACCAGAGAATGAAGGCTTCTTGTTTGTCAGATGAAAAGCAGTATGTGTCATTTGTTTTTCTTCTTTTGTCTGGAGAAATAAGAAAAAAAATGAGAGCAGGGAGAGGGGGAGTGGTAAAGGATGGGCCAATGAAGGGAGAGGGACAACGGTTAAGGATGGACGAAAGAATGGAGAGGGACAACGGTTAAGGATGGACCGAAGGTCACTGATTGATAAGTTGGGTATATAGTGTGGAATATTGCTGGGGGTATATAGTGTGGAATATTGCTGGCTAAGAAAGAAAACGAGCCTAGATTGGTCGGTACACCCATGAACTGGTGAAATGCAGACCTGAGTTTATATCCTGTTGGAACCCTGGTACACCCACGAACTGTTGAAATACAGACCTGAGTCCAAATCCTGCTGGACCTTGATGAATGGAATAAATCATTCTGAATTACCTAGGGCCGGTCCGATCAATCAACATATCCCAAGGCTGTGCCCCTTAAAAAAAAAAAATCCTTTTGAAGCATTTGAGGGGGAAAAAGAAGATTTGGCAGGTTGGCATGGAATTCAGAAAACACTTAATGCTCCAGTCTATTCGTGGGGAGCAGCACATGCTGGGAACCGGGCCCAGCGTCCCATATAGAGTTACACAAGTGATTTGAGATACCGGGGCCATTACCCGGCTTTGGCTGAGAATCAATATGAGAACTATCGAGAACTATTGAAGAAAGTCAAGAGAATTAAAAAGAGGTTGAAAAACTATGAATGACTACTGACCTCTTTTGGAATGCTCAGAACCGCTAGACTCCCAAACAAAACTCTCTAAAACTGTCCAACACTGTCTTATTCCCTGTCGGGCTCTCCCAGGCCTCACACTCCCACCCGGCTAGGTTACAGAGCAACACGACTCGCCCCAGCTCCGGTCAGCGTCGTCCCAACAGCAACCCTTGGTTGTCCCTTGGAATGCCCACCCCAAAGCATCCCCAGATCTCTCTACCAGGCCTCACGCTCCTGCAGTGAGCACGTTACACTGGCAGGGCAATACCCCAGCACCGGCCAGCGTCGTTCTGGCATCGAACAACCGCAGATCCATGAATGTTTTTTTTTTTTTCCCCCCCCCATGAATGTACCAGTAACAAACAGCCTAAAGCGAGTTGCTAGAAGTCCCCAGAATCCTAAATCATTCTCAGAACAAAAAAAAAAAAAAGAAAAGAAAAAAAAATCATTCTCAGAACCACCTGTAAACATACCTTTTTTGAAGATATCCTTAAAATACCGGGGATATTACCCGGCTTCGAGTTTTTTTTTTTTTTACAAGAGCACTGAAATTCTGTGTCCCCCAAAGCTCGGATCAAAGAAGCATTCAGAAAAAAAACACCTGCCTTAGGGCCTTCCAGCAGCCCAACCCTTACCTGCCTCACCCCTATATCCTGATGCCCAATCTCTACCAGGCCTCATGCCCCCAACTGCTAGGTTACAGAGTGGCACCACCCACCCCATAATAACCCCCACCTGCCAGGCCATAGGGCAAACCGACCTGCCCCGGCTCCGGCCAGCGTCGACTAGGCACCAGCTCACCAAAAGACACCAGAGTGCCTTCCACCCTCGACAACTCCCCAGATCTCTCTATCAGGTCTCATGCCCTCGTACAGCTTGAGTTACAGGGCAGCACGACCGAGCCCCAGCACCGACCAGCGTCCTGCTAGGCCACAGGGCAAAGTGACCCGCCCCGGCTCCGGCCAGCGTCGACTAGGCACCGGCTCACCAAAAGACACCAGAGTGCCTTCCACCCTCGACAACTCCCCAGATCTCTCTACCAGGTCTCATGCCCTCGTACACAGCTCGAGTTGCAGGGCAGCACGACCAAGCCCCAGCACCGACCAGCGTCGTCCTGGCCTCGTCTTTTTGCGAACCACCGGGACTCAGGACTAAGACAAATAGCCGTCAAGCCACCAATCAGCACCATAGCTGTAGATCTCATTATTTGTCTCCTTCATGCACTGGTTGCAGATGTCCTCCCACAAACCCCCGGAACCCTACTCCGGCAAGTATTACCACGATGAAGCCACCATCTCCGCCGCTGCTGTACCCTATTACAACCCGGCAGGGTAGCCCCTTCACTGCAGAGCGCATCATCTCCCACCGTCACAGCCACCACAACCCCCTGCCTCCAGCACCAAACCTTGGAAAAAGAATTCAATAAAAAAAAATTAGGGAAATCAGGCACAAAAAATCCCGAAAAATCACATGAACATTCCAGCGCCCACTATTCCCACAGGGAGAGGGGAAGAGGGGGAAAAAAACAACCCTCTCTCCCCATGACTCCAGCGCCTATTGAGGTCTCAGATACATATAAAGGGGTCACAAGAGCCAAAGGGATTACTCCTCTCCCCCAGAAAACAGCCCCCTGTTTGTTTACTGCCTCCGTGGGAAGGCGCCCCCTCGCCTCCCCGCCCCAGTTCAAAACAGCCCCCATAATACCCCTCCTGCTCCCTCAGTCGCATACCCTAAAGTATGCCCCCGCAGAGCAGAAGATCCCCCTTCCTTCCTGCCCCACTCCCTCCACGCGGAACAGCCCTCTCGAACTCTCACCCTGCTGACATCAGCACCTCTTGTCCTCTCTCCCCAACCGCCATAGCTGATCCGACCCGAAAATCAGCGTGGCCCGAAAAAGGACAAACCCTCAATACTGCCCCTACCGTCTCAAAGATCACAGGGCTGGATCGCATCAGTTAAATGGGAGGGTAAGCCCCCCCAGGAGGACAATCAGGAGGAATTCAAGAGGGACTACCGCGTCTGCTTCAGAGACTGGACTATGGTGGGCCAGGAGATCCTGATGCGGCCTGCCACAGACTTCCCCGACCCTTTCCCGCCCCACAAGCTGGCAATGGTGGAGTTGCAATGGTACGGAGCAGATTGAATGGGCAGCTTCAGTTGGCCAGATTAGTTCTCAGCATAGGAAGTTCATCGTTTTCTGGGCAATCAATGCTGGCAGCTTCCTCTCTCAGTTTTGGCTTCCGCTTTGGGGATGGGACGCCAGATTAGGGACGCTGGGCCCGGTTCCCAGCATATGCTGAAGGGGGAGGGAGGAACTAGCGTGCAGCTGCGTATCTAGCGCCGAATGCAGGGTGAAGAGGTTCCCCCTCCACCCAAAAATCCTGCTCAGTTAATCCCCTGGATACCAGGGCAATCAATGCTGGCAGGAGCTCACCACATTTCAGAGGCACTCAAAGTTCAGTCTGTGTAAGGGACGCTGGACCTGCTTTCCAGC